ACTCATAGCGACCCCTCCTTGGGTTTCCGAGGCAGTATCACTATGGAAGTAGATTGCCCCATCTTCCTTCCGAGGAGTGGCTGGTGGATTTGAACCGCCATCCTTCTGGTTAGCAGTCAAATGCCGTAGCCACTATGCTACCAGAGCTCCCTGGTATAACATAGGGACAAATTACTTAGAAAAAAATTCTAGTTTGAGATGATCCAGAGTATCTTGATGGAAATGGTCTCCTGCTGGTCAAAACCCACTGCCCTTGAGTTGATTCTGACTCACAGTGACCTTACAGGACAGAGGGAAACTGCCTCCTAGGGTGTCCAAGGCTGTAAATCTTTACAGAAGCACACTGCCTCATCTTTCTCCCAAGGAGTGGTTGGTGGGTTCAAACCACTAACCTTTTGGTTCACAGCCAGATGCTTTAACCACTGCACCACCAGAGCACCTACTATGGAAAATTCAATATTTGACCATAGAAAAGTTTTCTAATACAAACAGTAACAATTGGCATAAAATAAAATAACCCTATCATGGCTTAGAATTGGGTAGAAGAAAATACCCAAAGATCCTGGGAAGTCTTCTGGTCTTGGAAGCAGCAACTTCAAGGGCAGGCAATGAGGCCCTGAGAAGGAAAAGGGAAAGTTCCTGGCCCTTATCCAGGAGGCAAACTATACACAGGCAGGAAAGATATTGGAAGGAGGATCTGGTACTTTACAGTTTCAAGGAAAAAAATTTATGTGCAAACATGGGGGCATGAGTGGGAGGAATCACTACTTGTGCCCTTGTTGCTCCCTTCCCCTGAGTTACTTAAGGCTGTGCTTGCTTGACAATGTTTATGCATGGTGGACTAGGGTCAGGGATGCTTTTACGATAATGAAATCCAAGACAGAGGCCAGGGGCATTAGAATATTAAAGCTCTTTTAGCTTCTGAGATCTTTGGGTTTAGGTAGTTTGAATGCAGCACTTATTTATTACATTTTGAGACTGTTTTATCTCAACTAGCCTCGCTCTATGTCTATTAAGAACTATCATGCATGCCGGATGGTATAAGTTAAGGGTGTCATTATCCCCTGTGTCCTCTGCTCCTCTACTAGAAGTGCATGTGTGTATGTTGTTGTTGTTATGTGCCATCGAGTCAGACCCGACTCATAGCTACCCCTCCTTGGGTTTCTGAGGCAGTATCACTACGGAAGTAGATTGCCCAACCTTCCTTCCGAGGAGTGGCTGGTGGGTTTGAACCTCCAGGCTTCTGGCTAGCGGTCAAGTGCCTTAGGCACTATGCTATCAGAGCTCCTTGTGTGTATGTAGGTCTGTGTGTGTATGTAGGGTGGATGAAAACTTAAAAACATATAGAAAAAAATTACCTTTCTTCTTTCCTCTGCAGCCTCCAGTTTTTTCTGGATCTCCTCCAGGGACAGATCTTTTTTCTTTGGAGAAGCTAAAGTTCGAGGGGCCTCTGAGATAGGAGATGGAGGCTTCAGGATCAGCTCAAAAGCCTGGCCAGAGGCACGTTTGTTGATTTGCTTCACTTCCATATCTGAGAAATTAATATTTGAGAACATTAAGCACACAGAACATGAAACATGGGTTTATTTTAACAATGTGAATTCCAGCATTTGAAAGAATCATTGTTATTCTGGAAAAATAGGAATAAAATGCTGTATATGACCCTTTACTCTACATAGGATTGAATGTATAAGCCCTTTCTTTAGTATAATTATGGATATATTTTAGCAGAGTAAATACTTGCAGTGTTGGAAAACTCAGCAGTATCTATAGAGTTGAATAGTAAGAGGCATAATTAGAAAAAATACTCTAAACGATAATTAACTGATATTAAACTTTGTTTATTTTCATTTTGAATAAATATGAGCATCACATGAAAATCAAATAGCACAGATTTGTTTTGTGGAAATTAGCATAGCTGGAGTTATTTTCATGCTAAATTATGAGGAAAATAACAGAGTTCTTCAGTTTTAAAATATAATCCCGTGATTGGAAATCACAAAAGATGTTAGAATCAACCTAACTCCCTGAACAGTTGGAAATATTTGGCAAAATCGATGGTAACTTATAAAGCATCCCACTGGTTTCTATTTTACTGTTCAGTAAGTTTTTTGATTTGAGTCATAAAGCAAGTGTAGTGGCTACTGTGGGGAGGATGGTGTGATGAAAGTCCTTGTCTTCAAGATGCTTATAGTTGAATGGTGAGAAGAGACAAGACCCCATCTTTGGGGGCTTTGTTCCTATTTCATTGCTACTTAGAATATCCTCTTTCAGCACAATTCAGCAGTAGTCAGGGGCTATGGAAAGAGGCACAGTGGTAGAGGAAAAAAGGAGCAGCAAACACTCATCTAATTTATACATTGTATACATTTTTTGAAATTTATGATATAATAAATTACAAATAACTAGAGAATGGTTAGCCATTGTTTTCCTCTTTTGTGGCTAAGGTAGTAAAGACAAGCAGATTATCAGACCCTCAGGTTTTAACTCTGCATAGTGTCATTCACAATGTAAAATTAATACAACTGATAATACAAAATAGAGTGACAGTCACCATCTGCTTGAACATTTATAATTACAGGAACTCACAACTTAGTAAAATGACTATTTTTTTTTTTTTTTAAATTCATTGCACAAGCCTCATTTTCAGATGGGTATTCTTTAGTATGAGCTGAAAGCATCACTGCTGTAACTTCAGGCTTGTTTTGTCTTTGAAGCTACCAAAGATTAGACCGTTTTCTATTCTGCGTCAACATCTTTCAGGTATTTGAAAACAGCTGTCAGGTTTCTTTTCGGTTTTCTTCTCCAGGCTAAACATCCTCAGTTCCCTAGAGAGACACTGTCCCTTGATCTTCATCCTGTTGGTCACTAACCTCGATGTTCTCTAATTTAGTAATGTTCCTTTTAAATTGTGGTGACCAGACTAGCCAGGTCCCCAGAGCTCTGATGAGGGCAGAGCAGAGAAGAAATATTACTTCTCTTGATTTCAATATCACGCTTCCATTAATTCTTTCAGCAACCTAGTTAGTGCTCATTGATGTTGTGGTCCAGTGAAATCTCAGCTTTACAATAAATGACCTTAGAACCTTGAAGAACAATACGGGCCAATAGACAACATGGGCACAATAAATTCAACATATGTAATGGGAACGATGTTTTTTTCCACAAATGTAAAAAATATTTTAAATTTTTCCTGAAGGCATCCAAGATTTTGAATACGACTATAAAAATCATGTAAGCATATGGAAAATGATTAAAAGATAACATGGGCAAATAAAAAATAGCTTATTGGATAAAGTGGTGGGATTTTGTATGGCTTAGATTATAGACTATGGAATGAGAACTACTTGTATTTGCATCCACTTAATAAGCCCTTCTGCCTAGTTTTATGGTATCTGAATAGTTGATTGACTTCTTTGAGTTCCACATCCTCATTTAAAAGATGGAGATAAAAAAAGCAACTTCTTTATAAGATTGTTTGAAGTTTAACAGACAAGGGTGCGGAATGTAATGCACAAGCTACAACATCTAGTGAGTGTTTGTAAACAAACTGCCATTATTACAGTTATTATTGTTAATTTTTGTTATGATGTTTTATCTGCAACAAACATTTCAACTTATTATCTGATATAGAAATACAAAGTAAGGTTAAAGACTTTGGAAACCTGAAATTCTCTGCCAGCTCTTTTAGGAAGCCAGGCATGAGCAATGTGAAGGTCATTCAATGTCTAAGACTCAGCTAAGACATAACTTCTGAATTTTTTTCCTCTTCCTCTCTATTTTCAATCAGCCAAAAAATGGCCTCTGCCTCCTTTGTCCTACTGGTGTACTTTGTATCAACATTTGTCTTAGAACTTACCATGCTGTGTTCTGATTACTGACCATTTATTTGTATTTTGTAAGTCTCATCTACTAGGCCCTAAGTTCCTTGAAAGTGAGGACCATGCCCTATTTATCTCGGGATACTCAATTACTAACACAGAGTTAGAATTTTATAAGAAACGTAGCTGCATTAATACTTGAAGCTGTGTCTAACTGATTAACAAGGTTCTGTCTAGTATATTTGTTGCCTGGACGAATTTATACGAAGTAGGTATTGGGCCTAAAGTCTTACTGAAGCATTCTAATGTAAGTTTTAGTTGGAAACAGAAACACTTTCACATGGAAGATGTTTCTTGATGAAATAGTAATTAACACTTAGGATATTTGTGCCATGGTAGAGTAACTTTGGAAGGAAAAAGCATGAGTCCTGTTTAAAGGCACAGAAAGGGTTAATTGCCACAGCGTCCCTTCTCCTGAATGCATTTTTTTACATATGTGAAAAAGAAAAACAACTGTGAGCCAAACAGGTGGCAAAATATGCCTCAGGTGTATCTACACATGTGACTGTATCAAACATTTTAATTACATTGACTGCATTACGTGAAGATAATATTGTTGATAATGACAGCTACTTTTATTGAATACTTACAATGTTTTTGCTGGGAAGTTTATAAAGACTGTAATAAAGCAAAAGCAGTGATAGTTGTTGATTTTCTTTCTTAAATTTTCTAACAATAAGGCTTTTTTCTTGCAAATTATGATCTACTCTAATTACAGCTTAGCATACATATTACCTTATTTGTAAAGAAAATCCAAGATATATTGTTGATGTTGAAGTGCTGGATGCAAACTGCTAATAATAACCCAGCCCTGTCTCTTAAAAGATGTTAATGTATTGTTACTAGGATGAAACCCAAACTGTTTAGAGCAATAGGCAATCAATAAGACCTAATAGTGAGACACAGCAAGTCAATAGTGAAATCTACAAACTATTTAGTGACATGAGACGCTGGGAGAGAGAGAAACAAGCAGATCCGAGCTTTTCCAAATGATCTAACCACAGGGGCACTTCTATCGTGGGCAACTTACCATCATAAGTATAGATGTTGATGTTGCGAGGCTCAGGGTAAAAGCAAGAGCAGATCAGTGACAGCATGGACAGCTCCTTCATTTTTTCCTTGTAGGCTGAAATAAAAGACTGGAGGTTAAGAGCTTTCCTTTTCTGAATTTCCTCTGAAAGCTTCCTTTAATTTGAATAAAATCATAGCTGCTGGCAGAATTAATTTTGCCTACTACACTGCTTCTTTGCTTTCTTTCACAAAATGTATTTGAAACCTAAAGTATATATTGTGTATTTTATCATCAACATAAAAATACCAAGCCCAAACCAAACTCATTGCTGTTGAGTTGATTCTGACTCATAGTGACCCTACAGGACAGAGGAGAGCTGTCTCATAGAGTTTCCAAAGCTGTAAATCTTTACAGAAGTGGACTGCCACATCTTTGTCCTGCTGGTGTGGTGTGCCAACCTTTCGGTGGTAGCTGAGCTCTTACCCACTGTACCACCAGGGCTCCTTGCACAAAAATACATAAATTCCTTATTACAGTAGGTTAGGCAACACGTGAGAGAAAAGGAGTTAGAGAAAGAAAGGAAGTTAGAAGAAATCAAGATTCAGCAGCACAAAGAGGAAAAGAGAGACGTAGAGGAAGAGAAAGGAGAGATGTAGAGGAAGCAGAGACAGACACAATTAGCAGGGAGATAAACCAGTCGCCAGAGTCAACTCCAAATCATGATGACCCCACATGTGTGAGGTAGAACTGTGCTCTCCAGGGGTTGCAACAGCTGATTTTTCAGAGGTTGGTCACCAGGCCTTTCTTCCATGGTACCTCTGGGTGAACTCAGACCTCCAGTCTTCCAGTTAGCAGCCAGGTGCATTGACTCTTTGTACCACTCAAGTACTCCAGCAGGAAGATAGGCCAATTCTAATAAGTGTTCATGCAGGTCTATTGCATATAAGTAAGATTCAGTTGGTTTCCCTTTGCTGGTTCAGTGTGAATTGCCACATACCCATTTGGGAATTAGAGAACTTGTCAGGATAGATATTAAGTAGATACATCCTCTAGAGTCCTTCATGGCTGCTTTCTCTTTATCCTCAAGTGCATTTTATTATCTGTCTCTTTTTCTATACACACTCCAAACTTGCACCTGAGATTTGCTAAGGATCTCCCCCACTCTCTGCAGAAGCCATTTTGGATGCCCACTTTGCTGAGCAGCTACATGAGATTAGATCTTCCCACACTGCCCACCACCCATCACTGCCTTTACTCCTTCCCCTCACATTTCCTTCTTTTCATTCAAGACGCCTCCTGCCAGGTAAACTTTCTGGTTTTCACCATGATAAGTGTCTCCAGACCATCAGATGGAGATAAGGAGGTGGGATTGTCTCACCACTGTTGATCATCTGATTCAGCAAAAATAATAAAATGGAGAAACAAATTGTAGATATAGTTTTCACTAATTTGCAAGAAAGTATAAACAGATGGTGATGGCCTAACATATTGAACCTCATACCTCATAGGTAACATTTGCTCTTGGAGTGTTTTCTGCTCATTACTTTAACCCAAAAGAGAGTAAGCATCTTATGGCAGGAATTTGCACATTCGTTTGGGGATTATTGGCATGCTTATTTTTCGGTGTCAGCAGAAAGCAGATTTACCACCTGGATGCTTTAAAACCACAGAATGTTCAACTGGGAAAGTTCTAAGAGATTATGCAGTCGATTTACCAATCACCCCACCACCCATTTTACAAATGAGGAAACTGAGTTCCACAGAGACCAAAATCACGTCTGGCCAGTGACAAAGCTGGGACCTCTGGAAAAAATGCAGTCAATCGATCTTTCTTAAGACTGCCAGAAGACCTTCATCTAGCTTTACTTTCAAGGTAAAGTTCAGTGTGTTAACAGGGCAGCACATGTTTGCACATGGTTGAATATGCAAAGTCAGATATTGGCAATGGCATGTATTTCAGCCTAATCCTTCCATAAAGCAAAAACCCAAATCTATTGCAATTGAGTCTCATGGTGACCCCATGTGCCATGAACTGCAGAGAAAAACTTCCTGCACAGGGTTTTCAGTGGTTGTAATCATACGGAACTAGATCACCAGGCCTTTCCTTTGCAGCACCATTTGGTACATTTAAACTGCCATGTTGTCGTTAGGTGCTGTGGACTCAGTTCTGACACACAGCGACACTATGTACCACAGAACAGAACACTGGATTCTGTGTCATCCTCACAATTGCTGCTGTTTGAGACCATTGTTGAAGCCACTGGGCCAATCCATCTGGTTCTGGGTCTTCCCCTTTTTTACTGACCCTCTACTTTACCGAGCATGAAATCCGTCAGGGACTGGTCCCTTCTGATAACATGAAGAAAGTACTAGAGACAAAGTCTGGCAGTTGTTGCTTCTAAGGAACATTCTGACCATACTCCCTCCAAGACGGATTTGTTTGCTCTTCTAGCAGTCCATGGTACGTTCAGTATTCTTCGCCACAGCACAGTTCAAATGGGTCAATTTTTCTGTGGTCTTCCTTATTAATTATCCAGCTCATATACATATGAGGCTACAGAAAATAACATAGATTGGGTCAGGTGCACCTTAGTCTTCAAAGCTACATCTTTGTTCTTTAGCACTTTAAGGGGATCCTTTGTAGCAGATTTGCCCAAAGCAATGTCATTTGATTTCTTGGCTGCTGAGTTGATTGTGGATCCAAGTAAAATGAACTGTCATAGACAGTGCTAAAAAGAATATTTCTCCCTTTTTTTATCTTATTCCCTTAAAATAAGAAACACATTTTGCCTGGTACAAGAACAGCTCTGCCAAAGTCCATTGTGAGAGATTTTATTGAATGCCTTTGGAATTTGAGAAGGCTGAAACCATATTTATTTGTCTTGTTTGTTTATTCATTTAATTAAATTATGCCATTATAAAGGCCCAAGCAGATCTTTACAGGGCTGTTAAGTGTGAATCATAACTACTGCCAGAGGACAGAAACATTTGGTGCTTTACTATAATTAATTTCATGAGCTGACTGAAAAAAATAATAGCATTGTTATAGGCTACTGGTGTCACCTTCACATGGGGGACCCAGGTTTAATCTCTGGCCAGCATACCTCATGCACAGCCACCACCCTGTCAGTAGAGACTTGCCTGTTGCTATGATGCTAAACAGGTTTCATTGGTCCTTCCTAGACTTAGACTAGGAAAAATGGCATGGTGATCTACTTCTGAAAACCAGCCAGTGACAACCTTATGGCTCACAGTAGTCTGTTCCATTGGGCATAGGGTTGCCATTAGTTGGCACTGACTTGAAGGCAGCTAAGAACAATGAGAACAATCATTTCTTTGTAAGAGCATACAATATACAATATGGTATCCAGAACATATTGCAAAATTAAGTACAAATTTGAAGCACATATTAAAATACTTACTTTATTAGGAAGCAAAACCAAATAAACAAACAACAGCAAGAAAACATACCTCCAAAACAACCCATTGTCAATGAGTTGATTCCAATGCATAATGACTCTATAAGACTGAGTAGAACTTTCCCATAGGCTGTCACTTTCCAAGGCTGTCACTTTTACAGCAGCAGACTGCCCCATCTTTCTCCTGTGGAGTGCTTAACCACTGCAGCACCAGGTTTTCTTTTACTAGGGAGGGCCACTCTAAATAAATATATGAACGAGATCTACTTCGTAAAGTAGTAAAGCTTTAATCTGTAGATGAACATGAACTTCCACTGAGGGGACTCTTTCTCAACATCTGACCTCAGCTTCTTGGGCATAAAATTTACTTATTTTCAGCAACCTAATAAAGAATCACTAAAGAGCTCTAGGGGAGCTCTAGTAGCGTAGTGCCTAAGGCACTGGACTGCTCACCAGAAGGCTGGTGGTTCAAACCCACCAGCCACTCCTCGGAAGGAAGATGGGGCAATCTACTTCCATAGTGATACTGCCTCGGAAACCCAAGGAGGGGTCACTATGAGTCAGGTCTGACTCGACGGCACATAACAACAACAACAACAAAGAGCTCTAGTGGCATAGAAGTTAAAGCCTTTGGCTGCCAACCAAAATACTGGCAGTTCAAACCCAGCAGATGCTCCTTGGGAGAAATATGAAGCAGTCTGCTTCTGTAAAGTTTTAGAGCCTTGGAAAACCGATAGGGTCACTATAAGTCGGGATCAACTTGATGGCAGTGTGTTTCTTTCTTTCTTTTTTTGTAAGCAATAATAATAATTTAAAAAACCCAAGCAAATGTGAAGGGCTGTGAAAAGCATGCTATAAGGTTTCACAATTGGTATTTCATGATTTGAACTGACAATCCTTTTCCTCATTGATTTTTGGGAAACAGCATTTATTAGTCTTTTCACCATATCCTAACATCAAGCAGAGATATACGCATGTTTGTAAGGATGTGGGTGGTGATGGGTAATTTCATATAATAGTTTTCATCTTTGATTGCATTTGCTATTAATTATTGATGTTTGTAAGTATATTTCTCTAGTGAGTTCATTTAAAATTCAACCCAAAGTATAATGATTCTATAGCAATATCCACTTAACCTAATGATATATGAAAAACTGTGATGATTAAGATTTTGTGTCAACTTGGCTAGGCCATGATTCAAATTTGTGCTTAATCTTGGTTTGGCAGATTATTATGTAATCCTCCTCCATTTTGTGATCTGCTGTGAGCCTCTGATCAGTTGAAAGAAGAGTTTCCTGGGGATGTGGCCTGCATCCAATACATGTGGATGTTCTGGCAAAGTTTACCCTCTTGACCTGGCAACCAATTCATAATCCTATGACCTCCAGTTCTTGGGATATGAGCCAGCAGCCTGATGTTTGACCTGCAGATTTTGGGTTTGTCAGCCCCTGCAACTATGTGGCTCAGGACAGGCACATAGTCTGAGGCCCACAGATTTGGGAATTGCCGGTCTCCACGGATGCATGAGCCATTTCATTGAAAGAAATCTCTCTCTATATAAACTAATGTATACACACTTCACTGATTTTGCTCCTCTAGAGAAACCAGCCTAAGACAAACACGAATTGTTTTCTTCCGTTCTTCCAAACAGCTATAATGAACTATGAAAATGGTAAAGCTACTTTTCTTTTTGGA